CCATAAAACAGCAGTTTCCCTCTTCTAATAATCAAAACTACCCTTGATACCCTGGAGAAGTATGTCCATTGTTTCACAACAACGACTGTCCCAAGAGATTTTCGTCTTCTCAATTTCTCAAGATAAACGTTCCAGGGTTGTTTTGTTTACTAGAAGGAAATGTTCTTTGACAGCATTTCTTGAATTTATTTCCATTGCACAAAAAAGCAGCAAATACTGTTACTGAAGCACAGAATTGGCATGATTTTTCCCGGCCATTCACGCAAACTGCAAATCAAGACTTTTACTGCATCCATCGTTGTTGATAATGAATGTATTGTGACGTATTTTGACCCCCGGATTCTGACCTTGCATTCTTCCCACATTTACTGCCCTTTCATACCCGTTCAATTTCCTTTCATTATTTCATCCAGATTTCATGATATTAAAAACCAACCTTTATTTCACAGTCACTCTAGTTTTCACTTTTCTAAAATTATCTTACTGATCAAAAGACTTTTCACTCCCATCATGCAATCTCCTATAGTACTTCCGCAAACACAGCGGCGATCGCCAACATATCTACAAATAACCTCGCTCTCAGGAGCTGAGGAATGACAATTCCTTTTAGTTATCTCCTAGACGCGATGAAACTTCTTCCAAGTGAGCTTGAAAACGCTATTACTTCAGGTGTACTGCGTATGTGGACTCCCAGACTTGATTTGTCACGGTATTTAATCTAGTTTTCGGCTATGACTCTCCCTCATGGCGTCGCCAATCTCGCCTTCTTGTCTTCTCCGCGGAGTGCTCTTGGCACAAGTAAATACTAGTAGTTCCCAAATAAAAATAATGAATAATGATCTGAAATCCCATCCACACAGCTAATATAATAAAATACTGTTTCGTTTTAATTAATAGAACAATAGTCGGCTTTCGATTTATACCCTACAATAAGTAAACACTATTCGGCAGGACTCCAGAAGACATACCTACACTTTATGCAATTTTTTTTAATTATGCTAATTTATTCATGACGTAGCATGTTTCTTTGTTTATGAATATTCATTAATTTGTGGGTCAATACATTTTAAAAGGGGCGATATATTATTTTTGGGGGAAGAGTTGCTGACATAGTACAAATCAACTGAGCTATGTGGGTAGTCATGCAAATTGAATAATTTGTTGTCATATTTAGCTTTATTGCCAAA